CAGGAAACTTTATTTTTTTTCCAGTGTCTCTTAAGGTCAACATTTTCCCTTCAAATTGGACGGCTTTTAATAATGACCCGCACTGGATAACTTAAGTGACCTTTCCTTTGACCCTAGATAGTGATATGGAGTAGACCGTACATTGACAACCAAACATTCACTTCTACGTGAAAAAATGTTCGCAAGAGACAATAAAAGCATGTAACTTTTTCTGAGAACATTGTTTTAAATTTTCTGCCTCTTCCACGTCGAGAGAGCAAGTGGTTTACCGTACATCGTTTTTGGGACACAACCTTTTTTTGAAAACTGCCCTCGATTTGGCACGAGGACTGAGGCATCGATACCACGCATAGAAATGCCCGTCGATTGAGCCGTTTCGCGTTTGTGGCGAAAATAACTATGCCTCCAATTTGCACTGTTTAAGCCGGATTTTAAAAGCGCAAAGTATAATCTTTCGTATTATATTTCACTGTAGAAAATCCCTTCCTTACATCAACCTCTCCTCATTTTACATAAAGCCACGGCAAGTGCAAGAAGTATTCCAGTTGGGTCTAGCCAGATGAAATTTTAGACTCGGGAAATGCGAAAAACAGCTTGTTTGCAATTCCACCACTATTTTAAAGCGATTTTTATTAATTTTTGTCTTCTCTGTTGTTCCACATCTCGGTGGATCTTCGTACGAGAATAACATCTTATTAAATAATATTCCTTTTCAACAATTTTGACCAACATTTTGGATTTAAAAAAAATCCACATTTAATGAAGATAGAACTCAGAATCGACATCTTTGATGGTGATGGGTGGATCAAGTTTCCTTTTCTGGATATGGCCTGACAAATTGTGTCCAAGTTTGTGTAATTTAGGGGGATTTTTTTTTTGAGCAAACTGCAAACGGGACTTTTTTGTTGCTTAGAATGATCTCTCCTTTTTCTTGATAAGGGCTGCGGCATCATGGCCCGGTGCACGTTATGTGTCTGAGCATTGCCTCCGTGTCCGCCCCCATTTGTAATGCAAACCAACCACAGAGCTTTGCCTGCGTTGTACGAAATGTCTTTTAAAATTATGATTAGGCCTATGGGCTTTTTTCCCTTCTCATATCTCTACTTGCGGGTCTGTTGAGGTCCAAAGGCCGGTAGGTTACAGGGCTCAAGGAACAAGGGTATGCATGTGTGACGTCTGGGAGAAATATAATTAATGACATATGATTGTCCTAGTTTGGAGGGGGAAACTATTGTTTCGTGGGGGCACGGCTGGCATGAAAAAAAAAAGTCGGCACCGTTTAGCAGCACATTGTGAAATGACCGCGTATACAAAGGCGATATGTGACTGGATAATGTGGCATGATTCGTTGCAGACGGCACGGGTACGCATAGAGACCACGATCAGCCGGCGGCGCACCAAACACAACAATTAACACATCCACCGCCAAATGTAATGGCCATTTTGAATGAGTAATGTGGTATCTCGAAAAGGAAAAATCCATTCTAAAATTAAATTCATTTTAAAATGTAGTGGTATACCGAGTAAGTGTTTCATGATTTTTCCGATTGTTATCATTGCTCTTATGTTTCGACTCCTACAGCAAAAGCAATTCTGACTGATTCACTTGATTTGTTATCGGCTCAATGATAAAGATATTTGTCATTTATCAAATGCATTTTTAATCTAGTTATTTTAATGATGCATGCATAATTGAAGAGACATGACAATCATTACCTCAAAATTTCATTCAGTGTTGCTCTCATGAAGTGGACTTTAATTGCTCAATATTTTTTCTTACAGACTTTCTTGTACAAACAACATAATCCAGAATTTCAGTTTGTATTTAAGCATTATTCAAATTTATTCTATAAGAGAGTAATGCGTTATAGCCATCTCTAGACGTCTTCATAAAGCTAAAATTATTTTGGTTGTAATAACTACCACAAACGAGGAAAGAATAAGTGAGTTAGGATGCAAGGTATCACCAGATATTTAATGAAAACGGTTATGCTTATTGTCCCTGCGAAGGAAAAAAAATCGAATCTTCAATTTAAACAAAAATATAGAATTCCCAGCCCGCTTCTGTGTACATCAGGTGACCGACAACACATGGCTCAAAGTGTGAAGTGCACCACGTTCTATGTGTGCTTGCTTCTATTGCAGCCTTTGTTTGCGCTCATTCATACAGTCGTCGCATTTGAAGAACACAGAACTGACAAAGCGTTGATGCTTTTGACCGTCGTCTATCTGAAAATTCCCCAAACGGGAAAAAGGCATTCGACAAAGCACAGTTAAATGTTAAATTGAAACTTTTCAGACATCTGACTTTGTGTACTGACAGTCCCTAAGGATTAGGCCAACCTACACTGAACTGTCATAAAGGTCACTCCGGCAGAACTTTTTACTGTGAATTAGCTTTAAATTGAAACAAGTTTGAGTTGATTACAAATCAGGTCAAATCAAATCCTATCAAATACTGCAGAAGCTTCTAAACTCATAATTGCCATTTAAAAGATGTTTTTCGTCATGAGCCGATACTTTCCAATAAGGTTTTTGTACGCGTTACAGACACCCAACGACGTGTGGCCGCCGTGGAACTAATACCCTACTTTTTACGAATGCCTCTCGTCAAAACTGATTTAATTGTGTTCTTTTTGCATTCGCTACACGTAAGAACAAATGAAGTGCACAATACTCAATTTCAAGGTTCATTTGAGCTTTTGCGGTTCAGTCTGCTAGCTGCACGAACATCGGATGGATCTACAACCTCGTATTAAAGTAATGAAGAAAGCCCTGATTTTTGGTCAGTGGTAACGGTATTTCTGCACAAGCTGGTCATTGGGGGCCGGGAACGAGTTCACATCACGCTGCCCGACGGAAGTGACGACTACTAGTCTCGCACAAATTTGTGGAAAGACACGCAAGGCATTGTGGCCATAATGATCTCGAGCGTGTCGGGGAAATGCCGATTCCATCCCTCTCTCTAACACAACAGTTGTCCAGTGACAGCACAAAGAAATCGGTGGTCACCAACGCCCTTTAGCTCTTGAAGGAAATAGGCAGAATATCGACAGAGGGCGTTCTGTGCAGAGCTCTCCAAAAAGGCGGGGCGGCATTCTCACAGCAAAATGGCATATTACCGCCTTGTTTGTTATAGGATTGGCGCAGCTAATAGGTATGAATTTCAGTTAAAGCCACCCCAAACCCGCCCTGGTATTTTGCGATTGTGTTTATGTAAACAGTTCTGGGCTGAAATTACTCATGTTACCAAAGACAAAGCGGCGAATGTAAAATGTTCCCGGAATTTTCAAGTTGCATAAATGTTCTCTTCTTCTGAGGGCGCTCGACAATTAGTTTATTATACAACATTGTGTACATTGAATATCAAATAGGGCAATGTCAAATATGGACATTTTGTATCCCGGCGAAGAAGCAAACGTGATCGTGGGTGTATGTATTATGTATAATCTACGCATGGCAGGAACAAATCAAACATATAGTAAACTGAATCTGCTTGCCCCGACGAAGGTACCCAGTTACCGAAAGCTCAGCTAAAAGATAATTCAGAGCACTAATGGTATAATTAAATTTTTGTCAATAAACATATAGTGATTTGATTTACCTGCCCTGAGAGACATATTTATGACAGTTTGATGATTATTTAACCGCGTGTTCTTCATAGCCCGTTATAAAAAAATAATGTTGTGTTAATGAACTTTAAAAATCGTGGGACACACAGCACATGTTTTTTTTCTTATGTGCCTAGTGCTCAGTGGTGCGTGTCCGCCGACAATTCCTTTTCAAACTGAACTCAAGCCAGCCGCCTTTCAACATTACACCAAAAAAAAATTCGACAAATCAGAAAAATGCATCTGGGACAGGAACAAGGGGGAATTTGTTGCAACAGGCTTAAAAAATGGTTCACGGAGGGGATAACTTTTGTAGCGCGACCCTTTGCCTTACAATTAGGTCAGTAGAAAAAGGAGACGCAGAGTTCAACCACGGGTTCAGTGCCGATCGGCGGGCGACGCGACAGAGCCAAACCCTGTTTTGTTCGCCAATTTGTTCGGAGGGGTCGTTGTAAACGGGGGAATCTTTGTTGGCGTCATGTCCCCGTTTTGCGGTCCGCCCCTATTATTTAATGGATGTTCTGTCTGCACTATTGAAACTATCTCTGTTGGTTTCATGTGTACTTTCTGTATACGGTCCTTTTCTTTTGGTCCTACCCACTCACCCCCCCCCCGTAATTCATACGCGCAATCTATGACCGATTTCTTTCCTTTTCTTTTCTTTTGATGGATTTTTAATTTTCTATATATTTATTTTTGGGGAGGAGAATTATCCCCTTGTTGAGAAAATCACTTTCAGAGATTGGCTTTGCCATATTTTATCTTATATGTTTTTAGGGGCTTTGTTTTATTTATAGTTAATGCAGTCATTCTTTATTCCTTTAGATAATAAAATACCAAAAACACTTGAACACAAATTCCAGGTCCTAATTGCCATGCAAGAACTTTCCTTCAACTGTTTCAGAAAATATCCTAAATATCAGTTCCTGAAGGAAATTCTGAAATAAGTTGAGGCCCAACCGATTTGAAGTTCCCTCTGCCAATTTGCACGACACGACCTTTTAAATACAGTGTTGCCAGTATGTTCAAAGAGATGGAAGGATGAATAAATTTTATTCTAAAATAAAATCTGGCTACTGCCTTTGAAACCAAGTTTACCTCAGTACAATGGTCATCTTTGATTAATCAAAGGTATCTTTGGATTCGTGAATCAGGATTCAGTTGAACAATAAAGACTAACTATAGGGCGGTAACACCTATAAAACATGCATGAGTCCCCTACCCTTAATCTCCCCAGGAAGAATTCTGCAGGAAAGTAGCGGAAACAATTTTCATTACTAAGTTTATTCCTTTCTTGAAGTGTGCACCACAGACATAAATAACCCATAAATATGGAGGGCACACGCTTTGCTGAATAGCGCCCTCGTCTTGCTGGAACGAAATAAATAATAAAAGGAGTTTCAAAATGGCGGCGCCCGGGGTTTGGGATTTCGGTCGTCTGCATTGTTGTTGTAAACGCTTTCAAGGATAATCCTTGAAACCGAGTCTGCAAAACAATGAGTAAACGAAAACGCCAGGAAGGAGAGATGGAGCCCAGGGAATTTGCAAATAAGTTCAGTCCTTTTAGTGGAGAAATATCGGAAAGGTGGCAACAGGTTTGATTTCCGGCCAATTTTGCAGCCCAAGTTGGCATGGTTGGACCTTGGTTGGACGTCGTCTATAGTCAGTCTTATTGTAAACGAAGACAATGTCCAACCTGGGCTAGCAAGTTTGTTAGCTAACCACATGAACCAGTGAAATAAGCTATTTTTTCAATTGTTAGTTCAGGCCTGGGGCAGGTCTACGTAATGGTGTTTAACCAATGATATGACTAACGTTTAGGAATGTTTTCCCTGTAAAAAATTGAAAAGTTGACTCTCTAAAACATTTCAAGTAAAGAGTTCCATAGGCCTATAATGATATAGGCCTAGGGACAAGACAAATTTTCCCTTAAAATGTTATAACAACCGTCGGAAAGTGAAAATGTCCTAATATGTGAAATTTAGCAAGGAACATTCTGAAGCATTTACTAAGTAAACGCAGGTTTTTAAGACAGGTCTCATAGGTTTGTGCACAGGGGCATCAAGTGTTGTCTGTATATGGAACTCTTTCCCATTTGATCATGTGCTTTAGGACATGTTATTGCTCTCTGATGGCTGATATTAATTGGAACTCTTGCTGACATCATGGAGGAGCTCATATTGTGCAACATTGCAAAGAAAAGTGTCAGTGATGTCCCATGAAATTCTTTTTGTCACTGGAAATGCATAAGTTGGTCAAATTTACGCCACATAGTTTAGGCTTAACAAAGTCAAAATAGTCCTGACTACTATGTCCAAAGTGACTCAACAAGGAGCCCATGGATAACGCTCGACCCTAGGCATGTGTAGCCCTAACATTGCTGACAGATGAAATAGGCTGACTAACTAGCATTACCAATAAAATTCTTGGGAATCAATTTTCAAATCCCAAACTTGATCTTTCTCGATTTTCCCAACCAGATTCCTGAGGAGTTTGTAGGCAAACTGAAAACAGGCATATCCCACCTCTTGCCCCGCATGGTGGAAGGATTGAGGCGCGAAGACGACCACGATGACTCCATTTACACTGGAAGAACTGGTGAGTCCTTTCAGGAGAACTTTTGGTTTACCGAAAAAAGTTGAAGAGGAAATATTGCTCATATCTTCTCATGCTGCATAAGCAGCTCACGGTGCACGTCGCTTTTACACTTTCCTGGTAATCTGCTTTCAAAGAGAATTAGGCCTACTTCTGGTGCAAAGGCCATCTGAAAACATTTCTGATAAGGCTTTCTTACACAGTTTTTTCTAAGATTTCAGACTTTCCAAGATGAGATGTGCAGATGGTAGATGGCTTCTTCCATTTTCCTAATAAATGATACCGGCAAAGGGCATATGAAATATGACTTGATATCTGCAGGTATAGCTCTTCTGTACCTCCACCTTCAAACCACCTTCCCGCAAGGTGATGACTTGGTGACGGCTTACCAACATCTCAAAGCTCCGCTCCAGAGGTTGCGAGGCCGTCGCCACACCTTCCTCTGTGGAGATCCAGGACCCTTGGCTGTCGGCGCTGTGGTGCTCAGCAAGTTGGGCCGAACGTCCGAGAGCCAAGCTTGCATTGCCAAGTGAGAACCTTCAATTAATTGCAAGTTGTGCGAGAAGAAACTTTTTTGTGTTTAACGTTTGAATTTCCAAGCTGTACATTCAAGGTTTAGAAATGAAAAAGAATTTGGTCAAAATTTCCGATCGGAGAATTGAAATTATGATGGCATACAGAAAAGTGGATCTGATCCTTGAGTAGTCGAGTGCCTTGAATTGGAACTGTTACAAGAAATGCCAAGAGAATTGGAAATTTACCAAAACTCAGGAGAAAAGGGGGCCCTTCAAATTTCTGATTCACTTTGAAAGGTCCTCAAAAAAATAGTGGAACATTCAACATTTCGAGGGAGTCCACGAGAAGGTTTTATGTTTTGGAACTGTTCCTGTTTCTAGAAAAAGTCCTGAAAAAGTCACTGAGCAGTTCTAGTTTCCAAATTTCCAAGCTTGATGAAAAGAAGTCAGGTTGGCATCGTGGTTCTTTCCTTCCCTTCCACCTCTGCGGTCCCGGGTTCGATTCCCGGCTCTGTCCGCATGTGGATTGTTTTTTCAATCCCTCCTGATTCTGTGGGTTTGACCCAGGATATTCCTCTGGGGTTTTCCTCCCACCACTAAAACTGTAACTGCTTCTCACTGTCTCCTTTCTACAAATGTGGGCTGTTTGGCAGCTGCCTGGAGTGCCCTTGTTGCAAATAAACTTGTCACTGATCATTTTCCATCTGATTTGGGTTAAGGTTACACGACCTTCACAGGGCATCCCTCGATCCAGGCCTACCGGATGAACTCCTGTACGGCTGTGCCGGATACCTTTACGCCCTCCTCTTTCTCCAATCCCGCCTCCCAGAGGCAGCCATTGACGGGGCAGTGGTGGAGCGGGTCTACCGCCGCATGATCCACTCTGGGGAATCTCTCTCCAAACGGGAGGGGTCCAAGTCGCCCCTCATGTACGCCTGGCACGAAAAGAAGTACATTGGTGCGGCCCACGGACTGAGCGGCATTCTCTGCTTGCTGATGCAGGTGGGAATTCAAATCAAGCACACAACTAATGTAGATAGGTGATCAGATTCGACTCGAATCTGATCAAAATCAAATTTTGATTTGATGTCAATATGAGTAGATCACACTCTGGCTTGCCAACATAGGAAGGCATTGACATTGAGTACACAGGTTGGCATGACAACAAGATCCTATCTGATTTTGATTTCACATTGGCTTGACTCATCTCCAGTTTACTGACCGCTCTCGTTTTCTCCCCTACTTTTTCAGGTAACAACCCCGTATGCCCAGGAGCACCTCCATTCCCACATCAAGCCCAGCGTCGACTACGTCCTGCAGCTTGCCTTCCCATCGGGCAATTTCCCCTCATCGCTGGGCAACAACTCCGACCGGCTAGTTCACTGGTGCCACGGCGCGCCGGGAGCCATCCACATGCTTCTGCAGGCCCATAAGGTCCCCGTTTCACAGTTCCATCAGATCGTTAGAACAAATTCGACAGCAAAACCACAGAAGATACAAACGGTAGTGATGAGCTGACTAGCCATGGGGTTTATCCACTCTGAGCTGAAGTGCGCCCTCATTGGCGAAAGAAAAACAGTCGGTACTAAGTTTTCCAACCGGGTTCTTGCACGCGTTTGGCGTGCATGCAAAGACCAGTGTGCTGTGCGTCAAATGTGCTTAAACATACGCACCTATGTGTTGAGTGCGTACCGAATGACCGTGACCTTCATTGAAAACACACCCTCGTTTGTGCCCGCTTGGAGTGGATAAGCATTATGCATCCTGTACCCACATGAAAACCCCATAGATTTGGATGTTTTCTTAGCGTCTTAGCTTCAGCGTCTCAGCTTCAATGGGCAAGATGAGTGGCAACCATAAGTCAATTTTTCCCTGTACCCAGGATGTATTTTGTGCACTGGGTACTGGGGAAAATCAACCAGTGGTCGGCAAATGGTCACTGCTCAAACGTGACTACCGATGCCATTGCTAGGCAACAGAGCGCCCTCTCTTGTTCATGATGTGCGCAGTCCATCAAGAATAGATTCAGGAGGGGCCAAATCGAGGCCGCGATCCCCGCTCAAAACGGAGCTGAACAATTTTGTTGGAAAAAGAAATATTTTCCATCCTTTCCAAATGCATGCAAAAACCCCAATATGTAGGCTCGCCCCTCAGAAAAGCCATAAAATATTACGTGGGAAAAGTCTCACAAGTTTGGTTCCCCAAAGTTTATCTCTCCCCCCTCCCAGAAATTTGCTTCTTAATCCACCCCTGCAGTTCATTGAGAAACAGTTGTTCCTCTTTTTTTGACCCCAACAGGTGTTTGGGGAGAACAAGTACCTTGAGGCAGCGCGGAGATGCGGGGACGTGATCTGGGAGCGAGGCTTGCTGAGGAAGGGGTACGGTCTTTGCCATGGCACGGCTGGCAATGCCTACGCCTTGCTGGCGCTCCATCAGACGACCAAGGACAGCAAGTACCTGTACCAAGCTTTCAAGGTGAGGCGGGATTTGCTTTTGGTGTTTGGACTCTTGTTGCATATCAGGTGTTTGCCTTTAGGTTAAATTGAGTTTGGAATGGGATTGAAATATTTGGCTTTTGTTGTTTTTAAAATCTTTGTCGGTAGTTTGCCGAGTGGTGTATGGACTACGGAAAACACGGTTGCCGCACCCCTGATCGGCCGTTCTCTCTCTTTGAAGGTAAGCAGCTGGGGAAACATAAGGTAGAGGGAATGAGACTGTCAACCATGCATGCCCTAGTGGCCGTGCGCACTACCAGTTGAGGGCGCTATTTTGTTTCTGACAACTGATGGCACGAAATGATTAAGATCTTTTCAGATGGTCAAGCTCATAAGATCATTGGTGAAAGAATTCAAGTCATAGTCCTGATTATGAAAAGACATTGCTCCAATTAACTTGACCCTAACTGCATTGGCATTTCCTCGTCTCAAGAGGGCAGTGTGTAACCAAACAAAATGCCAAATATTAAAATAAGTGTACCAAGTCACATACCGACCAGCCTAAGAAAAATCAATTTGCCATTGCCAACAGGAATGGCGGGCACCATCTACTTCCTCGCTGACCTGCTCAATCCAGACGCTGCCAGATTCCCTGCCTTGTACATCTGAGCTTAATCATCAGAAACCGACAGTCACAGCGCTCCCTTTAAGCAAAGAAGATCTACTTAGCGGACAGGTTTGGTAAGCTGGATGTAGCAGACTACCAGCCAAATGGATGTGGCATCATTGTATTTTTGTCAGTAACCAGTGCAGTAGTGACCAACTTGTTTATCAAGTTTTTCATTATCACATAGCTACTGCGCAACACCTTTTGCCAATCAAAGTAAAACCAACATCAGTGAAGTTTCTACAGTTGCAAAAGAACTTAGCTCTTTAACCAGGTCAGTTTGGAAACATATTAAGTGTGAATCTGTTGTTTTGCTCAGCTATTTTTCAGCTAAGAACTTCTGCAGTTTTACGTGGAGAGTTGTTTCTAATTACAGTGCCTTTACTATTAATGTTGAAAGTGATCTAGCATTGTTTTCGAGTGATAAACGGCTTTATGCATGACCTTCAGAGGGCGCTTCAAAGCTCATTTGAGCGTGGCCAGGACTTGTATGTAAGTTATCCAATGCCAGGCGTATCACTTCATACTTAACACGAAAAAAATTGCTTTTCCAGCAAATTGTTTATCGGACTGGCTGTGGCTAAGTAGGGGGAGGGGCAAATGACTTTCAGAAATGGGCGGGGCTTGGGATTCCCATTTACTTTCAGGTATGTTCGTTGTTGCTCATTTTTTAAATACTCTGACGACAAAAAGAGAAACAGTCTGCCAACCCTTTCTTTCCAAAGCTTGTCATATTTTCCCTGAGCAATCAGGCTTTATTTCCTGCAGAAGAATTTAAGAATTTAACATACTTGGTGTCCGCAGAGAAAAGTTGGAATATCCCTATAGCCCATGTCGAGTTATTTCCTAAAATGAGTTACAAAAATAATCGTCATTTACTGACACTATGATTGGGATTCGAAAAGACTATCTAATGTCCACATTGTTTTGGACCAGTTCTTGCCAAGAAATAAAAGAAGCAGCCATTTAACCTGTCAGACAAACCTATTTTGACTTTGGATCTTCATTTGAGCTGCTTGGTTCAGGCATGAAATGTCAAAATTATGTGCAAATAGTAATTATGATGCCTGACTTATCCTAAAGAAAAACCCAATTGACACAAAAACCTGATTACCCAATTGTCTTCCTCTCCTATCCCCCAAACCTAAGTTGACCTTCGCCGCCCATCCATCAGAATTCCTTTCACTACAGGAAGAAGTACGTTGATTCAAAGTATAAATGTATTGGCAGAGCGTGCCAGCAAATGTCATAACTTTGAAAATGAGAAAGAAATTTGTAGTTTGCTTGAAAGAACGAATTTGCCTTCATTGATGTTTTAATTCACTTGCTGCTTATGTACCTATTTCATGTACATTTATCGTTACTGCAAAAAGGAGAAATACCTCACTCAAGATACCTGCATAAATTACTAGTCTTAAGATAATATTTTTGAAAGATATTCTTTCCTGCCAGCAAGATCTTTCCCTTGCTTTTTACTTCTGCCAGCACTCTTCACAACCTGTGAATGAATCAGAAATTGGATTAGTGTTCTGTGACTTTATGGCAGGTTGGTTGAAGTGACAAAGAACGTTTATGGCATTCTTGACTTTGATGTGAACCAGGGCAAACTTTGTGGGAGGTCACATGTGAAAACAAACTGAGTTTCATTTCTGCTGGGATGTACAAGTGCGATTGTACATAGTTTGGACTTGAACAGAGTCTAGCCAATAAGGTTCATTTAAATGAATACTGGAAAGAACCAATTCGGAGTTCAGTAACTTGGACAGACATTGAATCAGAACACAAAGTTATAAGTTGCTGGATTTGCTGAAACTAAAGGAGTTAATTTTAGGGCTTGGTCTGGACTCGAATCCCAGATGATCAAATTCGCATCTTTACCTCCTCCAAATATCTCTAGCCTCATAGCAATAACTCCTTGCCATTTGACAGGGAGAATGCGGATGTAATCAGCCAAAACTGCTGGGCGGAAGTCATTAATCTTTGGGGTAGAGTTGTCAATGTTACCATCGAAGATCTTGAAAAAGAAAATCACGAAAGTAACTGCAAATGACCAGTCTTCCATAAACTGTTATGATATCTTTATTCACGTACATTAGTTTCAAAAAGAAAAAAGCTGACAGTTAAAAACTTTGTTTTATTTGGCAATGATTTTGTTTTCTGAGAGCTCTATTTGATTGGTCAAAACGTTTGACCAATGAGCAACTAAGATATACTGGAATCATTGTGTGCATTTTGTGCACCCTGCTCATTGGTCAAATTGTCTCTTTATATTAAATGTTTGTTGACCAATCACATAGCCACTCGGCGACCCCGCTGTATGTACCCGATACCAACCTTTGGCTGGCTGTGCATATCCAGAATACACGACCAGTGCTCGCCCTCCGGTTTGTACTTAACCTTGTACTCAGTCACGTAGTATTCGTTGTCGGCACTGCCCTGCGTGAGAACCCCGGTGACGTATATTGTCCATGGCAGACGAACCTTGAGAAAGGACGAAAAGTGGTGAAGGAAAAACCAACAGTTAAATTGTTAAAGTGCATCGGGCAAAGAATTTTTCTTCGATACATTTTTTCCGGCAACTTTTTACTCATCTTCAATGTGTGAAGTTTCCTTTGCATTCATGTTTGGTTAAATGCTTTGAAAAGTGCACTTTTTGAAACTTTTAAAATCATCCGCGCTTTCCTGGACTTACTGAAAGTATTGATGCTTCCTCATTGCTTTGCACATAAACAACAAGGAATCAGCAAAGAAGACAACATTTAGTCCAGCAAAATCTACAAAAAATGCAATACTTTCTTGTGTACAAACCAATGTAACCATGGGTGTAACATATACACTTTCTTCCTAGGATCACATCAGAGTTTTGCTCATGAATATGGACACACTCATAAGCATAAAACAAAAAAGGCAGTAAAATAACCTTTGAAATAGTGAAAGTTGAAATTCAAACTTTGGTATTCAAACTCAGTGTAATATAAAAAAAGAAGCCAAAACTGCATAAAGACAACGTTAAATGTATTGGACTGCAAGGAGTTCCTGGTTTCATCTTGTGCTCATACCTCCTACAAACTGAGGTCAGCTGAACCAGATTTATTTGGTTTGACCATGAATTTGCTGCATTCAACCTGATCGAGTAGCCTACACTACGTTGTCACTATACCGACATCGTTCAGGTAAACTGGTTTGATGTGGTTTGTATACGATAATGATTAGTTTAACTACGTTGATTTGTGGACCTATGTAAACTCATCCTGTTTCAGCAGGTTGGGCAAAGGTAGTTTTTGTCAGTTAAACCGGTTTGAACTGGCTAGTACCTGTATCCACTGGTCGATGTCGCTCACCTCAGCTACCCAGCCTCCTAGGCCAGCGTTGAATCGGGCCATGCGAGGCTCGTACCCTGACAGGTAGCCGGAAGCTCTGAAATTCTCATCAGATATCTCGCTACCGAGAGCATGGCCGCATACGTCACCGTAGATCTTGGACAAATCAGTAAACTCTTGGAAGACAGGATGGAGAAAATATGAAGTTTTAGCTTTTTGTTACGAAAGATGTCAGTTGAATATATTTACATTTTTCTGTACAATTGTTTCTTTTAATGTTCCTGTCGATGGGTATGGAATGTTTTGATAAATTTCGATAGATAACCGTTTCACGGGAATATCTGTTGAAGTTATCTGAAGTTGCATTTTTCTGTAAGACCCGGTACCAAACTGAATTGTTAGGTAATTTGAATGAAAAGTGTTGGCATCAACAGACAAAAAATGATCAGGATAACGAACAGAAAAAAAATTAACTGGCACCACATTATTCACATCAAATTCCACTTAATGTTATTTTTATACCGGGACTGAGACTCCGGGAGGCACATCCCGAGAACCCGACAAATAGCAGCAGGAAAGGGCCGACCCGTGCCGTGAGCACCGGCAACATCATTGATGGTCCCCGCTAGCAGTTTTTACTTTTCCTGTTGAACCTCCAGCCCTTTTGGAATCTTCCTGAGTTAATGATGGACCAAACATTTATGCAGTTTGAGTTTTAATTAAACAACCAAATGTTTATATACCTAGCAGTCTTATTCTTATATCGTGTTATTTGGTGTTCATACTTTGGTATAAATGCACATCTGAAATTTCTCGTGGTTTTTACCATTTGAAATATATTGCACATCAAATTTGTATCAAAAGTTCCCGGGCTGCTAGCAGTACGCATGCGGCCCATGTCATTTTCAGCTTGCCCGCGGAACGGAGACACTTCGGTGAGAATGAGGGGACAACTTTCCCTCACAGCAAGATTTGGCCGTTTCTGAGGAAAAACAACTTGAGGAAGCTACGGCATGATGCAGTTTCCCGAGGACTTTGCTTGAACTTCGTTTAAAATTTCACGGTTCATTAGAGAACCCAATGTAGGCATCACTGCGTGCTATAAGAGTTCCTACAAGAACTGCCGGAGAAACTTGCCTGCAAAAAACATGTTTAATGTGACGTTGAGACCTTCCAAGCGTTTTAAAATGTTCGCCTAGAAGCCTGCCTATAAATGTTGGGCATTTTGGACCCTGCCTATACGCCCTCATCGGTACAGGTATCTCTTCCTAGGGTAATTTTTTTCACGTCTGGTGGAAATTCTCCCATTTGTCTTGAACATGCATAGTTGAAGATTTACCATCCACATCGCCTTTAACACACTTATAGGGACGACTGTTAATTTGGGTGCAATTTCAAACTAAGGTGGAGATGGTTAAAAATAAACCCTTTCATTTGAAGAGACTGAAAAATAATTTTGAAGAACCTACCAGATTCGTTGATTCCCTGGATAAACTCAGTCCTCGTTAATGCTAACCACTTAGTACAACTGATTTTTTTTGCATATGTTGATATTTTTGATAAATCTCTGCACGTATTTTATTCCGCACGAGCCCTTTGATCGATAGTATCGGGAAAAGTTGACATCTGGCGTGGTTATAATGATCGATAGTTTGTGTATACAGAACCATAACATTCATATCCAGGTATCGATTTTTTTGTACTCAGCAGGGAAGTTTTCAAAGGCATATTTAGATATTCAAAGCGCGCTCGTGATGTCACTGTGGAGCTAGTATTACGGTCAGAATGGGCGGAGCAAGCAGGGATAGGAGGGGGTACTTTTCACATCTTAATTCAGAGTTCAGAGTCTAACTTTAGTGCATTTCGCTTAAACCTATCATGGTGCCTGAGTTTAGTTAGCGACAAATGTTTTGATATAGAAATAAAATAGAAATAAAAGGAACTTCGGACCATGGAGGTCCTCTATGTTCGGACAAAGATAAGTGCCAAATTAAAAAATATGAGTCATTTAGCTCGTGATGGCCGCGTCTAAACACAGCTGCAAATAAGAGATATCCCTAGGAAAAGCGTGAAGCCGTTATCCAATGATCTTTGGGGATACTACCAATTTCATTGATAATTATTTAAATTAATGAGCCATTGATGAACGTGTCATACTCTCAGCCAATCACTGGACGGAACGCCGACTACCGACAACTAGCTGTGCCGTAATTTTTCCCTGCGCTCGCGGAACAAAAGATTTACTTTTTGATATTTTATCGATAATGTGTTGGGAATTCCCTCCTTTCATTCATTCATTTCAGATATTTTCCACGTAACTGATGATTTTAAGATACTTTGATAACAGCACAGTAAAATGTACTCATATCCATCAGCAATTTAGATTTTTCTCGTAAAAAATGTGCGAACGAGTTGTTTTCGGCTTGAAAACGTTTCGCAAAGACATCGCTTGAGGGCTCTCTACAGACCACCGACAGCGATCCGGCCCATGTCCGAATGTACTTCCGGTATGCACAATGCATACGCATATCGCTAGATCAGCACATCAAATCGTATGACACCAACGGTGCGGTGACAGCTCGCTTCCCGGGTATTGTCGCACTCACTTTCGTGTGGCAAGTTTGTCCCCAAATTTTGTTGGCATTTTTAGACCCTTTAAATGAAATGTTACTCACAATTCCTAGCCAGTGGTGGACGGTAGTCCTTGGATTTAACTCAGTATCGCTATCATGGATTATCACGGTCAGAAAAGGTAAGTTTCTTTTCGATAAAAATGTCAACTTTGAAACCCGTGTGAGAGTCACCATGACGTGCGCGCACTGGCTGAACGTGCCGCGGCGTGGCAGCACCCGCCCATCTAATCGACGAAGACTCGGTCACGTCACACCGAAGCGCTGACCGGTATAACACATCGAGGGACGAGAGGACTTTGGTTGTAGTTTGTTTAGTGTTTAATGACACCGTAAACACGTATTTGCTGATGGTCAGATGGTAAAGTGTTGAAAATAGCAACCACTGCCAGTGCAAGTATCTAGGTGGTGTAGATTAATTGACATTGTCATTAGGACTAGATTTAGACCGTGATATATATTCTGTAATCTTTCTCTTTTTTCCCCGGAAGTCAACGAGTATGTATTTACAATTAACTCAAATGTTGGGAAAGAGTTCCATATTCGGACTACACTTGATGCCCCTGTGCACACACCTTTGAGGATTGTCTGGGAAAACAAACGCACTTTTTCTGAGTAAATGCTTCAGAATGTTCGTAGCTAAATTTCACAGTTTAGGACATGTTATCACTTTCTGATGGCTGTTATAAATATTTGAAGGAAAATTAGTGTTGTCCGTATGTGGAACTTTTCCAAATGTTGATTATCGTCCTCAGGACTTTCAAAAAGTAACCTTCCCACTCTGCTTTCTGAGTAGTTGATGTAATGACATGGATGAAAAAGTGTGTTAACCTGATGCACCCAGCGGTGCTTACCACTCTATACCAGTATGTTTAGAGAACCTGAATGTCATCATCAAATTCATTTGGTAATTTCACACTTGGCTTCGCCAAATTGGCTTTAAATGGAGTCGTTGAACATGTTTGAAGTGGACACATCATGAACAGCAAGCTGAATGTAAATTGTATTTTTGTACTTTGGATCCATAAAAATTCCTCTCGATATGGATGCGAGTGCTTGTAAAATGTTGATACCGAGTGTTGATCTTCAGCAACATTGTTTTAAAAAGTACACTACACTACTGTCATTATGTAGGGAAGATCAACGAACTGGCAAGGTTGCTCCAAAAAGGCCAACTATCGTTAGTTTGTTAAAACAGTTGTATCAAAAAGAAACCAGATTAATACATTGGAAATAATCTGTACAAAATAGGCTGAACTTTGCCAACTTGTTAATTCCCTTTTGTACCAGAGTAAGCGATAGGCCTACTGATGAGTTCAATGTTCATGTATGTACCGTATTTATAATATTGTATTATAAATCCTCATGAGTCCAACTTTTTGATAGGATGACTATGTACATAGCCTGGTGGCGTGACTATGGAGAGAATGTGTACAAATTAAGATGTGGGACCAGACATTTCTGTTGCCTCACAAATTTACTCACACTGTTATAGACAGTGTTGAGAGTGCCAAAGACTGTTGTTTATGTACCTTCACAGTTGGTGAGACTGGATCGGCATGAAAATGCAGATTATAAGCCTGAAGCATGATGGCCCCCTGCCCTATTCCTCAACTCACCACTGAGTTGAACAATGAAATTTTTCTGCGCATGTTAAATGTTGCCTGGTTTCTCTCTCAGGCTCACCCTAGGCTCAGCAGAGTAGGAGATCATCAACAGGAGTAGACGGGAAAACATCCGTTAGGAAGCAAACAATTTATCTGCTGGGATTGCTATATCCCCGCCGGAAGATTACGGAATCAACCTGCTTACATGGGCTATTGACACTGTGGGACGCTGCCTCCATTACGTCGAACTTCAGAGTTGAAAAAAGCCTGCAAATTTTGTGGGAGGAAGGCCCACATTACACGAACACATCAGGTCCGAGAAAACTACAGAATTAATCCGATTATCGAAAGAGATTACCCTCTTGGCTTATCGTGCGTTGAGGGGAGGATTAACGGGTTTTTCCGGCATTGACACTGAGGATTATTAGTGCTTCCGGGTGAAGGCCTGGAGAAATAGGGGGTTAGAAGGCTGCCAGGATGGGAAACGATCAGAGCACGGGGAAGCTACAGCGTCGGCACAGCTATCCCATGGTTAATAAGACCAAGATGCCGATTCCACCGCAAGCCGAGTTGGAGGATCGCTTCCAGCGAATTCTGGTAAGTCCATCAATTGTTTCCCCTCCTGCCTCCCTCCCCCCCCGTTTTTTTCAAGTCTTCCCTCCCAACTGTGACAGTGTCATATGTTAGAAGTAAAAATTGATGTAACCTTCGGGTTACATGCACATGTAGGTCAAATCATCAAGGTGATTGGTTGCAGCACAGATCCTCTGGTCGCAGCACCCACAAAACTTCCCAGCCTGCGTGTTATTGCCCTTTTCTCGCCCCAAACTGTTGATGGATTTCGGCAGTGAATGCAGCAAGGAAAAAAAATTGTCAGAAAGGAATTTATCTCTGATTAGAGGATTTATTATACAGTACCTGTACATGGAGACTGTTCTTTTGGGGGGATGGAATAACTGAAAGAATATGTCTCCCTTCTGTAGGATTCTATGGTAGTGTGTATCATAAATATGCTCTATAGATGTACTGTCCGAGTACATGTGTGGTTAATAACTTCAGACATTCATGTCCAGCTCTAGACAAAAGTTTACATATCTTAAAATTACAATAGTTACAGACTAGGATTTGTTTATCAGGAAATTAGACCATTTTTGTTTTTTCATTAAAAAAGTAAGTCCATTATGAGAACATGAAAGCTTTCTGATGTTTTCTCAACACTAGACACATTTTCAAAATACACTGAATGCTGTATCCAGGGGAATTTGAATTCCAGCCATAGAGGTAATGTGATACCAGCCATGCTCTTTGGAATCTAGTACCTTTGTGTTAAAAGTGAGAAGTTGAAGAATTCCCAAGGGCATGCTGGTGGAGGCGATAACAGTAGGCCATGGCATTTGACAGGGTTCGCCCTCTGCTTCAGTTTACAAGTTTATTTTGAACACCTGCAAAAGTTCAGCCTCGCTGGATTTTTCTTAACATCTGAACTACGATGTCTAGCTCTGGTGAGATGTAGTTACTAGAAATGTTGAAGTGCCTTTTCTGAAACTTTTGTCCTGTTTAATTACAAACGGTTGGCCATTTTGGCATTGTACCCCGAAACTGAATCAAGTTTGAACAGTATATCCAAGCGGCCTTTGATTAACGGGTAGGGCCACCACATGTGCTTTTCTGTGTCCTGGCGATCATCGTAGGAACATTGATGGAGGTTGTGGAGATGTACAAGGTCAAATTTGGGGGAAGCCATGCTGACAGGAAGTGTGACAGAAACCACACAATCAACCCACTCTTGAACAAATGTACAATGCAAACACTAGAGGTACTGATCATTTTTTTTTTCAAGGTCTGTCTGTGCGTGCGAGTGACTGAAGGTTGTGGCTTGTACGAGGCAGAAAATATTCTCTGGTTTAGGGCTTACATTCTCTTCAAAGCCATAGAAATGCAACGCATTGTAAATATCAAATCAGATCTAGTCCGACAGGTAGTGTACAGACTGTACACCGAGCATGGAACATATTACTTACTTATACTTTGTCACTGTGGCTTATCAGTGAATTAGAACAAAAAATCTGCCCTTGAAATGGTTGGATTTGGACTGTCGGACAGGGTCCGTCCCAGCGTCATTGTCACATGAGTTGTGATAGGAGCGGTAGATTGGCAAAAATAACTATGATTCATAATAAACTTGAGCCAAATAGACACGTTGGGTTCAGTAAGAGGAAGTATGTGACATAAAACACCCTTGGGAAAAAGAGCGCCGTTTTCTCTGTTTGCAATATTTGTCCATGAACTGGTG